CTCTATCCTGTCGAAATATATATAAAAAGGAGCGGTCTGGCCATCGAGATCTCCGTCGAAGAAAACGTCTACTCGTTTCATTCGTCCACCTTTCCGGGTAGTATTCCGTTGAGCGCGCTATACCGCGAATAACGACACGCTAGCTGAATAACCGGGTGAAGGACGATAGACGAATTCGCGTGACGCGCGAATAGAAGAAACGGACGTGGAGCTCGATGCACCAGGTGGACTTTTTCTTCATCGATCGCGAGGAACGCCTCCGCGGATCGATCTCTCAGGGTCTCGACCCATATGGAAGGTACAGCGGCGAGATATCGCGGGATTCTCACGATCGAGTGGAAATGGAATGGAAACGCTCCACCGAATTCCAGAGTCGAGTAGGCCGGTTTGTTGTAGGTCAGAGATTAAAGACAGGCAAAATTTTAGTTAATAACAACGACGTTGAAACATGCTCGTTGATAAACTATCGCAACGGAGAAGCAGGGGAAAGAATGGAGGCGATCCATGCTCTCTGTGTCGCTTTCCAATTAAAAAGAAATTCAGTATCTAGCGATGCAAAAAGAAAGGTAACGTATAGGAGCAAAAACTAAGTATACGTTCGGTAGAAAGGCGAGGTATAGCTACACGTTGTTATTAACCTAACCTTGACTACTAAACGACGAACAAAAACACAGTTTTATTCGATTGAACAGTCGTACACACAAGTTTCTATTCGTTGAGCGTGAAATGCGCGTTCATTTCACAATTCCAATTATTTATTTCACGTTTTTACCACGTGGGATTCTAAACGTAATTATTAGACAGAGTAGAGACCAGTTGCAGTTGTTATTTCTGACCTCTGTTTTTTTTTTTCGTTCTTTGATATTATTATCTGGATTAGAATTTCGTCCATCTGCGATTTGCAGTTTTACAGTATAGAAGTCGATCGATAGAAGCGCTACCACGGTTCCGTCGTTGCACTGTTCGTTCTAGATTATCCTTTGCTCGCCTTTCACTAAAATCTTTGAGACGGATGAACGCGCACTCTGACACGCGCGAGACGTATACGTTAACCTTTCTACCTACAAAATTTCACTACATTCAATTTCCTACACCGAGAAAGACCCGAACTAAAAGTTTTCGGACAAATTATTCCTCATCTTTCTCTTCGGAGAGCGTCGCTTGAAATTTAATTAAAGATCTGTGCATAGACAAAAATGTCGCTGGTTTCTGACGGTATATCGAGGTGTACCGTTACCGATTCCCGGAGGATGACGATCGCTGGATCGGATCGAGCGCGTTCTGGTTCACTTACGTGCACACCCATGCAAAACCGGGACGCTGGTCGTTTGTACCGCGGAAAGAGATCTCGACGCGGTCCCGATCATTCGGACGGGACACGACTCGTCTACTTCCAGGAATCGTCGAAATACGCGTCGAGTCGAATATTCCGACTTTCCATGAGCCTGGGGAATCTTCTCCTCGTGTTTGACGATCTCTCCTACGGTAGGTGTTGGCACGCACACTGTGTTCCGGCGATTACGACGAAAGAGAAGGAAACCGGCCGACTGGCGATCGTTCTAACGGACCGGGTTACCAAGGCAGGCTTTTATACGCGTACAAACGAGTATTTCGGTGTCCGAATTGGAATTTATCGTGGCCGAAAGCGAGAACGCGGGAGACCGGTCGGACAACGAACTCGATCCGTGCTCGGTAAGCGGCAGACCGAGTCTCTCTCGACTCTGGGCCCACCTGTTCTAAGCGAGAGCCTGGCCAACTGGTCGCGGGTTGCACGTCGAGGTAGGGGTACGAGAGCCTCGTCAGCTACCTAGTTACCACCGATCCTTGAATCGTGCCGTTCCGTGCCACGTCTTGCCGCACCGTTCACCGTGTACCCGCTCCTCTTCTTTATTATTATTCGGCATGATCATCATTATCAACGGGATAACAGCTATTAGCCAGATGAACGGCTTGGAAGTATGATTTCGCAAGTGGGAGATCCGTAAACGTTTCGACTCGGTTCAGGCCTCTTCGGAGCTTATATCTTTTATTATCGTCAATTGGGAAACTCCTAGGACAGAATTAGATTTTTCACGATTTTTTATAGAGGAACATCCGACTGTTCCTGAACGCATTCATAATTTTTTAGATTCTATACTTCAAAGACACCGAGGCCAGTTTGTTTAGGCGAAACAGATGTTTTTTCTACCGAGGCGTTGTAATCGAAGCCAAGGTCGAGGTGCACGACAACACGACCTTCAAACGACCGTGTGCACGGTAAATAGTCGAGGTTATTTGAAGGTTGAGGTTGCGATACATCAACCCATTGAAATTGACATTGATTTCGACATCGCAGCGGTAAGAATGTGTAATCGCGTTTGAAACAACGAAGGCGATCTTGATGTAGCTTTGTGAGACAAAAGATTAAAAAAACGTCCATTCATCTATGAAACGATTCTTCAATTCGATCGAGGGAAAATGAAATGTTTCAGACGGAAATTCTGATTGACTTGCCCTATATATGTATGCTTATGTAGCCTACGCTTACTATTTAGATATAGATTGTAAATTTAGCGTACGTACGCCAGACGAGGTTCGTTGCATACGTTAGACTCGATTCCACGAGCATCCGTGTCGAGCTTTTAAATTGGAAACGAGCAAACCGGATCGAAAGTCTCTGGTCGCGAGCGTGGACCTAGGACTGGAACCACTCGAATAATTTAACAGTTCCCTTAAAGTGTTAATTTTATTTTTATATTCGAAAAGCTTTCGTACGATTAAGTGAATTGTAGAATAGATTGCTTCCTGGGGTCCAATTTGGAGCAACCGATCCAATTAGCTCCGAGATAGCAACGCTTCGAGCTGGTTCTGTTCCCTCGAGCAAAAGGATTCGTTTGACGACGGCGCGGTGTCCGTTGCATTTAAAAAATTGTCTCCATCCGCTCGAGATTATCGGCCGGGCGCGGAAAAGTGCGCGGCGCCGCGGATTTCCGTTACTTCTCTCCCGAAGTAGGGTGCAGAAGGAAGGTTACTCTGTCGTCGGAGAAAGATTCTTCTCCTCGCGCAACCTCGCGTAACTGTAAACGTCTCCCACCTCGGGTTTCCCTTCTACTTGGTTTCTGGCTGCTGTCTGCTCCGCTCCTGTGCCAAATCAAAACCCAAACGAGTCTCTTAACACTGCCAATTACGCGTAATTAACTCCATTCGCTCGCTACCGTTGCCCGTTCCGTTCATCTCCTTGCAACGAAAATTCGTTAACGAATCGTTTGTCTTTTCTGCGTCTTGTAAAAATGACAGATAGTCGACAATTAGGTTCGAATCGTTTGGTACTCTCGAATAGTAATCCTAGCTTGTAATCCGTATTTATTATTAACCTTTCTCTTATTTTGCGACTTGTTACTCTAACGATGTACAGTGGAACTTGGATAATTGCGCGAGAGATTCGATCGCGGTGGCAACAGGTGGAAGGAATGTTCCTGAACAAGATTTCACGCAGCAGGTATTTTGCGAAGGAAAAGAATACATTTGGTCGTATTGGATCAGACGTCATAGTCAGCCTTCGTGAGCCAATGTTACCCAACGTCCACATTCTACTTGTAGCACCACATTCTCCTTAATCCAGGACTGGTCTCTCTTTCTCCTTTCATCGGTACTGCTCTCTCGGGGTTGAACACTTTAATGTTATGTTATGTTATGTTGTTTATTTTTGTTCCGAATAAAGAAAAGCTACACCAGATGTTGTTATTATAATGCTCAGCTCGGCGTGTTCTTGCGATCGCGAGAATGCCGTTTCAACTTTGGCCTCGATTCCATACGATTAACGGAATCCCTCGAAGAATGTTGGCAAGGCTGTACTTGACGTTGAATTTAATAAATAACCAAGTTTCGAATCAACGAATAACGATATTAATTAATAACGATTTGGTTACCACCGTTCTTACCTAATACCGAATCAACAATAAATCAAACGTATGTTTCTTTTATTAATTCTGTTTATAAACTATAATTAACAGAATTTACCAGTCGACGGCGAAACTTTTTTTACCTATATGCCCGTTCGAAGCATACCCATTAATTTTGGGGACCAGTTTTCGCGAGCGAAAGGCGCTAATGGTTTTCCTATGTCGAAGCAGATATTACTGTCGCTCTTACTTCTCGATTCTCGCGGCTCTCGAATCGTAGGATTAAGTCTGTGTGAAGACCATATTCGATTAATCACGGCTACGAAAGATTAATTTTATAATTGTCTTTGAGTTTAGGTTTAAGGGGCCGGGGCAAAACATCAAACATGTTTACGACAACGAGGGAATTACGATCGTTGCGAGACGAATCGTCTTCTAATCGGATCAATGAGTCACTATCGAGTTGTGTAAATTTATTTTCCTTTAGAAATAACTCGAAATCATCGGGAATTTTCCTCTTCCGCCTCGTGGCAGAATGACGGTCTGCGAACTGAAATCCATCGCCCGCGTACGAACAAATTGAACGAACAAGATAAGCGAGTATCTTAACAGTAACCATTCGTTCATTTCTGCGAGTAAGAGAAAACGTTTTTAATCTCGCAGTGGGTACTCTCGTTACAAAAATATTCTCAAAGTGCAAAAGGTTCAACGCTAACGAAGAGAAAGACCTCTCGACCTACCGATTTACTACAATTTCATACGCTAAACTTTGACATAACATGTAACTGATAACGAATCGTTCATCTGTTGCTTCTCGGACGAAATATTTATCCGGATAAGAGTTCCTACCATCTCTGTTAACGAGTTAGAGAAGAACGGAAGAACCGAACTTTGCGACGACGGTAATAACATTCAGCGTCGAAGGACATCGTCCAGGGGCTCGCCTAGTCGATTAAGCAACAAGAGATAAATTATCGCGCAGCGCTTGTAATTTCTGGCTATCCAGCGAGATGGATGTTGATCATTTTAACGAGTCGTGCCTTCCTATGCGCGGCGTCGCGATTGGTCGCTGGCGGACGACGTAAACATGTTTTTATTTTGCATAATGTTAATTCTGCTATGATATTGCGTGGCAGCTAAGGTCGACCGGTGTCGTTCACGTATAAAAGGGCTTAGCTGTGGCACAAATCGCGGATTTTGCGACAAGAGAACATCTAACGATGAAAGACGATTTGCAGGTAAGAGGATATACATTGTATATACATTGTGTATATATTTGAATCTACGTTCGAACAGTACTAGTTACATGACAACCTTTGGAATATAATTAAATTCTGTAAATAACATAAAAATTAAAAATTTCTAGCGAAGTGGAAGAACAATTGTCACTTGTCATTTGCATCAAACTTTAACTATCTCTAGTCGACGGTAATGTAGTTAGTGGTTAATCTATGTTTATGTTGTTTTAGTATCTGTCAGGGTTCGATTGCGAGTTTTCCAGCGAGGACGCGCGATGTCCTGGCGCTCTGCCCGTTGGACAGAACAGTCCTCAAAAGTGTCCTTACGGGTTGTATGCCGAGCAACTGTCTGGCACAGCGTTTACAGGTAAGCTACAGCGAGTCCTTCGCAATGGATACCACCGAGAGAAACCTTCAGGAAAAAACAAGTGTCGTCTGAATTTTTCACGGATCCAAAAATGACCCGACTAGTCGACACATTCAAAAAGCGAAAGTTGCACAGTAGTTGACACTTTTTGTTTCATTAGCGGATACTTAGCATTGGGGAAAGTGCCAAGAAAGTAGGCTGCATAGCACGTTTTATAGAACGACCTCTTTAATTCCAAGAATGGAAGATTAAATGATAACAGAGGTAACTAAGAGTCTTGATTCAGAGCATCAACACACGGACGCGTCAGAAAAATGTTCTGTCGCTTTTTTCTCTCTCTACCACTTCGTGCTAGTTCTACCGAGAATTGACAGTCGATGATAAGATCTGCCTCGACTAGTTGTTGACTACTGGTGCAATTACTTCGCGCATGGATTTGATTAACTTTCATATGTTCCTTCTATCTACGACGCAATAAATATCGTACAATTTGATTTACACCGAAAGTTCCAAAAACGAATTAACCGTGTAAGTGAAGGACTAGCCGCGGTATAGTCGGTGGAAGCGACGCGGTAGCGAACACTAGGCATAGTGACCCAGTTACATCGATTCTTGCTCGTTTTCTTAGTGTTCCGTCCACGTGTGAGCACCCTTCTTCGCGCTCGGTAAAACTTACGTGTTCCACCAACTATATCGAGAAAAGAACTACTTGCATAGTTCACCGCTCGTAGCTAGTCTAATGCGAACCAATGGTGTGCCGTCTGGCGTTCAATAGCCCCTCGATCACAGAACAAACGTTCCTGGCTCTATCGGATTCGACCATCCGTCGTTCACAAGACCTATCAACCGATTGTTGACGAAGCTCCTCGTTTGGTCTACGATTGGGATGCCACTCATCCAACACCAAATCAAGTATGTCGAGTAAACTTTTCCACGACGATGGCCGATGATCGATGCCTTCTTCGTATTTTCGAGACCTTTCTTGATTCCAAGTATTCTTCTTAGCTGAGATGGAAACCGTTCGACGTGCCGAGCAGACAGGCAGCGGAAGTGGACTTTATCGACGGCTTGCACACGATTTGCGGTGCTGGTGACGGTCGCACGCGACAAGGCGTAGCGATCCACGTATACCTCTGCAATGCTTCCATGAGGGACAAAGCCTTCTACAACGCTGACGGAGATTACCTCATCGGTACGTAGCGAAACCAGCGACAAAGAGCCTTTCCTATGTTAATTAAACAACGACAAAGAAAGGAATATTTATCGCAGTTCCTCAGCTGGGACCGCTGCTGATAACCACGGAATTCGGCAAGATTCGTTGCGAACCGAACGAAATATGCGTGATCCAGCAAGGTATGCGGTTCAACGTAACGGTCTTTGGACCGTCTCGCGGATACATTCTGGAGGTGTTCGATGACCATTTTCGCCTTCCCGATTTGGGGCCCATAGGTAAGTACATCGTCATAATCGAATACAGAAGAGTAACATTTATAATAACACACTTATCGCGATTAGGAGCAAACGGTTTGGCCAACCCGCGCGACTTTCAAACACCGGTTGCGCTCTACGAGGACCGCGATACCGATTACAAGATCGTGTGCAAGTATCAGTGTAAACTGTTTGTCGCCCAGCAAGATCACAGCCCGTTCGACGTGGTGGCCTGGCATGGAAACTACGTGCCCTTTAAATACGACCTTGCCAGATTTATGGTCATCAACTCGGTTTCCTTTGACCACTGCGTGAGTACATTTATGGCATTGACTCGATTAAATCCAGGCCTTGTCACCCTCCGACCGTCTGACATTGCTTCAGCTAACACCGTGGAGTTCTTCCTCTGCATGTGATCCGTGTTGAATTTAACGCGCAATATTCAACGTTGTACAGCTTTCGTTTCGTTTGTCCGTCAGGATCCCTCCATCTTCACGGTCCTGACCTGCCCCTCGAGGAAGCCAGGAACAGCGGCTGCCGATTTCGTGATATTCCCACCCCGTTGGTCCGTGCAGGAGCACACTTTCCGGCCTCCTTATTACCACCGTGAGTAGAAAGTGGACGCACGACGCCTCTACTCGAGCGCAAACGCGAAGAGGGAACTTTAACGAACGGCCGACGGTGAAATTTCGAGAGTGTCCGTCCGCGTAAAGCGGTGTCGGTGCCGTGATCTATAATTGAAACCGAGATCGGGCCCGCCACCTCCCACCTCCTCCCGTTTTCTTTTCGCTTTTTCGCTTTCCAGCTGAAACGCGGATAACGACTCGCGACCGTGGTTCCGTCCTTTTGCCTTTCTACGACGATTCGTTGTCAATTGCACGGTTCGCCGACGAGAGCTTCCCAGCTCGACGCTCTTCGTCATGCTTGACCGGTTCTAGAAGTCGTTTAATCGCGAGATACATCGGTGAAAACTCGGAATTTTCTCTGATCATATCCATCGATTTCCTTTTTACTCCGACGACGATAATGCCGTTTCTTTCGCCCCGAGAAACGTATCGTTTCTCCGTCGTTCGGTCGCGGGCCTCTTTTTCTCGAATATTCTCGAACCTAACCGATACGCCTCGACCTTTAGGGAACTGTATGAGCGAGTTCATGGGCCTCATAAAGGGCCGTTACGAGGCTAAAGAGGATAGTTTCCATCCAGGCGGGGCGTCGTTGCATTCCATTATGACCCCTCATGGACCGGATACGCGTTGTTTCGAAACCGCTTCTAATACCGAGCTCAAACCCGAGCGGATCGCCGATGGAACTCAGGCGTTCATGTTCGAGACCTCGTACAGCATGGCGGTCACCGAATGGGCCCTGAAAACGTGCAACAAACTCGACAACGATTACAACAAGTGCTGGGAAGGCCTGAAGAAACACTTCTCTGAAAGCAAGACGATTCTGTGATTATTCCTCGAATAATCGTACAAGCGTTATCAACTTTATCGCACTTAAGATGTCTCGCCTGGTTTTATACGTTTTGTTTTCTTTTGCAACGAACGATAAAAATATGATCTTTTTCGTTGGTCTATATCTTATAACTTTCGTTATTTTTAAGCACGCATGATGCTTGTCGACGACAAACAAAGAACTACATACTGTAATAAGAATAATTTAAATCTTAATTGATTGTAATAAACAACACTTTTACGTCGCCGATGATAACGATCAGGTAAAACAAAAATTGTATAATTAATTGTATTGTATTCTACGAAAGTCTTTTAATAAAATAAAGATATGCAGAAGATTGACCACTGTTTTACTCACTTAATCCTAAAGAGTCACATACTTACATAAACGAATACAGAGGTAGTGTAATTAAAATGTATTATTTAAAATATCAAATTGCGCTTCATGGACCCAAAATTGCTATCGCCATCTCGCGGTCGATAGAAGGAACTAATCTTGGAATTTTTCATTTTTATTAATTTTAATAGCTTGGATCAGAACCCTTAAAAGTTACTACTGGTGGCGCCATCGGTGGCAAATCACCCAAGTTCGTAGTGAAAATAGTTCTCACTGTTGTCCCTAGATGGCGCCACCAGTTCCTTTTAATATCTTATTATTTATTTTTCATAATTGTATAGCTAATACGATTCCTAGCTTTATAACACAACGATACACTATTTTAGTATGTCAAAGTCATCATTTTAATGAATAATTATTTAATGCAGCAATAATTATCGACCGTTTAGTTCGTGTGGCATTATCTAGTAGCAATAATTGGAACTATTTTCACTACAAGCTTGGGCGTTTTCCCGCCGATGGCGCCAGTAGTACTGAATCTTGCTCTGAGCGGCTCAGTGAGCGATGCACTTTCTGGATGCACCCAACTGCACCCAAATAGCGACTACCAGTTATCAGCGTCCAATGTGGTCTATTGCTTGTCATAATCGCGTCGAGGAAATTCGTATCGAAAGATGTAGACTGTGATATTGTGTTGTTAATAAATCGAAGTATTAAAACGTCATTTGATGCAACGTAAATATGTTCGCGTCAATAAACTCTCCGTTCAGTCACTGCCATTGACTTGTAACTATAACCTTACGATGTGGAATATCGTCAACTTGGCGATACTTCTTTGTTACTTCAGCAGAAGCGTTGCAGCCTCGTTTTGTTATCCAGACTACTGTCAAAACACGGTAATTCTTATCTTATCTTATCTTTGCTTTCGTTCGAGTTCCTTGCAATCGTATGTTAGATCTTCGAGATCGATGAGCTTTATTTGTATCTTAATCGTAAATGGGTACTAAAACAATAGACCACACCTCAAGTTTGATTCACGTGAACTTTGAACGAAATCATTCTTGTTATTTTCCTGTAAGGAGTATGTCTCTTGTTACAGACGAGATTAGCTCCCATACACGGTTTCCAGTGTGTACTCACAAACGTTCAAAGGGGTGGAGGTATAGAATTATTATTAAATATGAATGTTAGATCTAAAGCATAAAAATAGTAGCAGATGATAAGACTATGTTTTGTAGATTGTTCTAACCTCACCTTCGAAAGTAAGACCCATGAAGCGCCTAAAGATGATACAACCAAATTTAGTCTACGTACTTATGTGTTCAAAAAACCTCTTCGAGGATCTATTCAAGAAGTCAAAGTTACTGCATTTAATTTAAGCATTACCGATGCAAATTTTCACCGTAAGCATTTGACACATGTGAACTTTCATAGAGTACCTCGATAGTACATGTAATTGTCTATGTTAAAATAGGGTTAACCACAATTTACCGAAGTTTGCTGGATGAAAATGAGTTGGCTTGTAGACGTATAGACCTTTATGGGAATCAAACTGATCCTGCTCCAAAAGAGTTATACGTTTCCTGTCCGTTCTCAAATGATTCTTACGAATCCCTTCCTTACAGACTAGATTATTTAGTGACTGGGAAAACATACAACTATAGCAAACAATATATTTTCAATGTACCTGTGCATAAATTTATCGGTGAGCATACAAAACATGGAATGGAAACTTTCCATAGACAGTTTGATATTATTAATATTATTCCTCCTTTTGCAGAAGAAGGCATAAGCATAAAAGAATACACACCATTTGTATATATTGATGTATCTCATGCGCCTCTTCACTTGTTACACATTCAATCAATGCCAGAATCATATAATGTTACAAAATACAGAATTCGGTTGGTAAACAACAATACGAGTTCGATTATTTTCTCAACGACAAGTGAACGAAATATCTCGTATGACTTCACTGGACACACTGGTGTGTTTTATTTTAAAGTCTCTGCTATACATCCACTTTGCGGCGAAAATGAGTGCGCGAACAGTACAACGCCATTCATCATTATACGTGAGTAAAGAAAAATTATTCATACGTATAAGTTTATGCCAAATTTTTTCAGTTAAATGCAATCATGAGCTTTTAATTTATAGAGAAACCGTCTCACCGTCTTCTCATTATGATCATCAGCACTGTATGGATACCGCCGGCGATCCTTTGCGTGCTTTACCTCATTTACAAATTTTATAAAAGGGGTAATGTTGTAATACAATAAGTTTCATAATAATACCTTTTCTTCTATTACATTTACGTTCTTCCACGTGGGTATCGTTGTAGGGCTGAAAGGGAGAAGAAAACCTAATTGTTTGTTAGTTTATTCACCGACGCGCCTAACACATATCAACGCGATGATCGAGCTGGCCAAATATTTGAGAAATTCTAACGTTGCTGTGATAGATATGGTCGATGTCACGGATACCACGAGAAAAGTTAGTATAAGAAACGATCATTTGTTCCGATCGTTTTTTGCGCAAACCTTAGTCTCACATCTTTGCATCGACGCAGGATACCGAAGATTGCTGCAGCAGTGCTTTCCGAAGCGCAGACGTTGTTCTTGTAGCAACTTCTCCGCCGCCTAAACAGCCTGCCGTGTCGTTCATTTATCGAGACAACGATAATTATTTTTTAAGATTAGTCAAAGAAAATCAGTTCCAAAAAGGAAAGAGGTATTACATCGTGCAATTACCGTACTGTACGCCGAACGACGTGCCCGAGGAAACGAGGCACTTGAAGAGATTCTGTTTGCCCAAAGAGCTACCCAAACTAGTGAAAGTTATTCACAAAATAAAAAATTCGAGAAGGGTTACCGTGTGCGATAAGGAATTTTTAGATAGCGTAAAGTTAGCGAAATTGGAGATACTCGGGGAAGACGCGAGTATGACGAAAGAAACACGAGAAACCGGTATCTATCGATCGTAAACTGTGCTCGGATTAAAGGATTCGATAATTTAATATTATACCTTGATGTTGCAGAAAATCTTCTAATGTCGGAAAGCGAGCAAATTTCAGACACACAGAATTCCGTGGCGACGGTATCCGAAGGTGGCGTCATACCTCAATCCTTCGCGACCAATATCGACGAGTTGAATTTGCTCGGGGAGACCGGAGAGGGTGGAGAATCGTTAATTTATAAATCACCGTCGAGCAATGACTGCACGTTCCGCGTCGACGAATTAAACTTGTGATTTTATACTTTTCAGTACTTTTTTTGTTAACGTCCAAGAACAAATTTATCTTGCGTAAGACTGTTTTTAAAGATGTAGAATATCTTATACCTGTATTGACTCAATAAACGAGACAACTTTTCGTCGCTGTACAACTTGTCACGCCCATTTCTCGGAATTACTCACATATGATTGTTCCTTTGATGAATTTATTGTGTGTGTATGTGTGTATGTGTGTGTATATATATATATATATATCTTAGGTACAAGAAAATAACGATGGCACGATAACAGTTACGTTCACGGTATGCGTCTTCGCTAAAACTAGTCAACTCTTGAAAAGTAAGTATAGAACACGATACAAACTGAACTTGTACGTGTACAATTTGCACGATAAACGAATAACTAACTAATGTAATGGAATGCTCTGCTTTATACATAAATACAAAAAGGGACGTATTTATTCGACGAGGTATGGAAACGCAGTCTTCTTTGGATATGATTAAATTGACCGATACAGTCGTATTTAAATTAGCGCATCGACGGTTATCGAATCTCTGTCTTCGGTTTCTGTTATCCAACGCCGCGAACCTCTGTTCCAGCGTGTACGCGAAAGCGGGAAGCACGTGCGCGAGGTGCATTTTATTCAATTGGAAGCTTAAACGTTTAATGATTTAAATTCAATTCTCTAGTTCTTACGATTTTCTTTCTAGACCAAATTTCTCGCATAGCTGTAAACAATGTTGGAAGATTAAGTAACTAACAGAGACGCGTGCAAAGTTACTCGAAAACAATCGACGTGAAAACGTTTCACAACTTTGCGTTGATTCCGTATAAATTAAGCTACTCGTAAACGACGAAAGCGCGAGAATCAGCGAACTATTCGATCGTTCGCAATAATTTATCCGCACGAGTTGATTTCTTGCGCGTTCTATCGTGCGCGTGTGTCCGACGATAAAAGTATCAGAGTACAAAGGCGTGCTATTTGCATCGAAATGGATTAGATAGATCTAAGTAGACGTGATACAAGTACTTTTCCTATATATTCGATATAGGTCCCGATGCTTTATACATAAAAATAGGCGTAGAAATACAACGCGATATCGGTTATTATCCTGCCACGGGTATCGCGTCATTCAATTCCTTCGAATCGTGAATTCGACGCAGGCACAACGCAGCGATTCTTTTCGCTCATGCGAAAGTAGCTTCTAGCTAATTTCTTTGGCGAATTTCGTCGGTTTTCATCCCCGAATTTTCCTCGCAGACTCTTCAGTTGCCTTCGCCTCTGTCGTCGTCGCCGTTTACATTGGCGAAGACGAGGAGGTCTTCGGACTCGAAGGACTTCTTCCCCTCCATGTCGATGTAGGACTGCGGCCGTTCGTTCGTCGGCGTCACCAGGTCGTTCTCGCTGTCGCTGGTAACGCTCGCGTTTCTGAATTTAATAGGGCTTTCATAGTGATTCGCACGCATACTCGGCGACAGATCGTTTACGTATGACAACTTGACAGAATCATCGGGAAAGGACGCTATAGGTTCCTGCCACAGGGTATGAAGCTTGTCGACGTTGTCGCACTTTGTCACTGTATCGGAAGACGGCTTCTTCAGGTAGTTGACGACGTCGTTCCTGAACGTATCGACGTTGACGTTGTCCGTCTCGTCGTTGCCGGAACCTGTTACGTAAAAATGTTTGGGAACTATTAAGAGTCGTTACTTTGCTCGTCGACGATTAACGCTTTCGTACAGAAGAGACGAGAAAAAGGGCGATACGCACTGCTTGGACTGTCCAAGGCATGAAGGGAGGCGAAGTAGGCCTGATTGTGGACGGTTCTCGGATTCAGATCCAAGTATTCGACGCTGTCTTCCAACATTTTCTCCCAGTGAGTGGTGAGCTCTTTGAAAGACGGCCTCATTCCGGGTTCTTGGTGCCAGCACGACACCATCAGCTTGTACCTACGATCACACATTATCATTAACCATAGGCCAAGCCTGAGAACAGACTCTACTTACAAATGTTGCGAGCAATTCGCTGGTCTCTCCATACGGTATCCAGCCTTGAGTAAGTTGTAGAGATTGTGTACGTCGACGCCAGGATAGGGAGAGGCGCCCAAAGTGACCAGTTCCCAGAGGAGAACTCCGAAGCTCCACACGTCGGACTTGCTGGTGTACACGTGATCGGCCAGGGATTCTGGCGCCATCCATTTCACGGGTACTAGAGACACAAAGACTCGGATTAAACGAGGATTTAAGGCTCGCAGGCCTGGTTGAAACATTCTTCTCCCAAATCCTTCGAGAGTTACGAGCTGGGAGCATCTGGACGCCTGCGGAGGGTCAACAGATTCGAGCCATTGCGAATCGATACAAAATTCTTGGGAATAGAATTGTTTACGTTAATATACAAGGTGAGCCAGCTAAAATGTACAAACTCGCGTACCTCGTCCTTTGCTGCGTTTCAAATAGGCGTCATCTTCGTACACGTCGCGCGTCAGCCCGAAATCGGAGATCTTGCAGACTTTTCCTGCCGCTAATAAAACGTTCCTGGCAGCGAGATCTCTGTGAACCAGCTGGACAACCGGACGGTTTTGTTAGCCAACAAAAATTCCATACCGCGAGTCCTTGCATGTTATATAGACCAATCCTTAAATTACCCTGATGTTACCTTAATGTCTGCGAGATAGGCCATTCCCTTGCTGATCTGCCAGGCGAACGAGAGTATGTCTCGAGGCGTGACAGTGTACGCCGACGTAAAGTCCATATTTCGCGATTCCTCGCCAAGGTTGGACAACGAGGAGCATCCACCGGACCTCCCCTCGGATTCCAAGTGACGGCTGCGTCTTAAGTAATTTCTGCAAAGAGCGCGTATCATCTTAATATCGCGCGACACGTACACCGTCGCCTCTGCGTCGTCGTTTTTTCGCTCTCCTCTATCTAGTAAGGTATTTCGCGCGCGTTTCTTTCTCGCGGAACGCAAAACGGAAGAAGAATTTAATTACTGGGATGTTGCTAGAACCCCTAGCGATTATTGTCCCGACGTTGACGGAATTCCGCAATGCGAAATTCCACGGTTCGTTGACTCCTGTCTCGGCCACTGTTATGCGTGCGTGTATTCGAAATATGAAGGGTACGCTTCAAGGTATGTACAAGTGATAAAGAATCATAAATTAGGTCGTAATGTTTTAATGCTCGATACGAATAACGCAAGTATCAGGGTACATTGAAATTGCTGGAATTTGGAGAATATTTTTGTATACTAACATTCCTCGTATTATTTCGGGTTGTATGCTTACCGCAAAGATCCAAACTCTGCGAACTCGATGATGAGGTAGACCGGGGCTCCAGGGCTGGTGCAAGCACCTAGTAGTCTGATCACGTTGGGATGCTGGGCCTCCTTCAGGAGCTGATACTCCGAGAGCAAATCGGCGAGCTCCGAGGCGCACGCGTTCTCCTTTAGAGTCTTGACTGCGACAGTCGTCGGGCCTGACGTTCCTCCGATGTCGATAGCTTTGGCCCGCAAAACGCGACCGAATTCTCCTTCGCCCAGAACTTGCTCGATGGTCAACCGCGACCTTGGGAATTCCCATTTCGGATCCGGCTAATGAGACACGAAACGATCTCCAATGGAATCGATATAGACTAAGATTTTGCTTCGGTCTCTAGATTCCGAGGCTAAAAGTGTATTAAAAATGTATCGCGCGGAACTTGGATAAGAATATTCCATCGTCAGCATTTAACCAACTAGAATGAACGTGCTTGCAAAAACCGTGTCCAGGAGAAATTGGGAAACTGGATAACGCGTCGCGAGTTAATTTCAGCTCGAGCAAGTTTCCTCGAAATTCAGGATTATCGCATGCATTCGCAGGAAGCGCTGAATTACGTGCACGGTTTCACGCGCCGATGAGTTCTCGTTTAGCAAGCCCAGAAAACGGGGAAATGCATTTGCAGTTTCAAGAAAGAACGACACGACAGCTTCGTGGGGGGAATATGCATGAAACGGGCAGCTTGGAAATTAAGTAAAAGCAGAGCTCGGTTCGTTTACGATTTTGTGTTCCTGTTCAAAGCTTTTGTAACGTTACTCACAGGACAGCTCTTAGGAATGAAAAAGTGACGATTGGCGGCGGTGAAGGTGTCCAGGCCGATCAGCAGTCCATCGCCTCGATCGATGTAATCGGATGGCAGTATGGCAACTCCGTTTGCGTCTCCGTTCGCTGCCTTTCGCTTGCTATCCCTGCGTGTTCCTTTCGCAGCCATTCTAAGACAAAATTTTCATGCGTGCTACATTCCGGCAGAGATTACGGACGGTTAATCAGTATGGTTTTATTCGTGTTCACAGGTAATTCACGTAGGTCTCATTATACGTAACAAATTAGTTTCAAGACCAATTAGCCACCCTTAGCCCGTCCCTCGTACCATCTACATCCCTGGGCGATCGTTTGGGGCGATTATTTTCTGGTTAATCTACATAAACTGGACGACGAGATATTATACATAAGCAACAAAGCCAGGTTCCAACGAGAGATACCGCGAAAGCTGGAACGCTTGTTCCGAGAGAGGAGTTTAAGCGCTTCCCGTGCAAACGATGGGGAAACTTTTTTAATTTCGCGCCCGCTTCTGGAACGCTTCTCGCCCGTTTACGTTCACGATAGGAGTTCGAGGGATCGGAATCGTTGCGCTGGATCGTTTCGCAACTTTCCAGGTGGCATCCTACGATCGCCTTTCACGACGCGAACGAGTAATAGGTGACCACTGGTTGCTCGACCGAACGCAGTCGTTGACAAAAGGAAGGTCTGCTTCGAGAGAAATCGATAGTGCACCCTGATAAGCGTATCTGTCGACGTGCATCGCCGAAATATCAGACCCAGCGTTTCCCAAACTATGCATTGAACTCTGTATCGAATGTTTCTTGCGTGGAATACAGCGTCGATCTTCAAGCATAGATTCAATTCTGTATGTCTCCTTTAAAAAATGAAATACTTGCAAAAGAATGCAAGCGTGTAAATACACCGTGTCGTGGGAAGCGTTGGGTAAATAAAAAAAAATTGGGAAATGCAGTATCAAAGAATCGCGGCCACACTCGTGCTCCCCTATCGATAGCTCGTTGACCAAGCGATCAGCCACTTCGTTTCAACGTACAAGGGGTTCGTTTGAGAATTATCTCTAATTCAGCCAGCTGGGATTCCCCAGCTGTCGCACGAACACCGTATATTTTCTGTCGCAAACACCGCTGATACAATCGTTTCGCCTTTAGTCACGTTTCGCTTCCCTGATTCGAGATTCTTGACCTCTGAGGACTGGGACTAATCGACTGTAACTATTCGTTTACTTGAAAGCAGAGCTCGGACTCCAAACGTAACACGTAACGCTTGAACTATATTCGGCAGATATTTGAAACAGTCCCAAGCCCATTCTACCTTTCGATAATTCGAGTGCTTACCTGTATCTCGAAGTGACGAAGGAGCCAACGATCACGATCAGCAGAAAGAAGCTGCCACCGATCAGGCCTACCATGCAGAAAGGACCGCAGGGACCACTGGATGCTGCGAGAAAAGATGAAAGAAATTTAAGCTAGTCCGCGATACACGACGCAACCGTGCTCGTAAAATAATCGACGAACCTTTTCGTGCGTCTGGCACGAGAACTTCGTTTTCTCGGTCTCGCAATTTACCGTCCGTCCCATTTTTATTGCCTTTGCCGTGGTTGTCGTTTCGCGCGGAGAAACCATCCACGTTGCAGGTGCATTGCAGCATATCGTCGCACTTGCAGGTCCCCACACCGCTCTCGATCCCACGGCCATCTTTGTTCATGTTGGCCCAATGCACGTCCACTGAAAACCCCAAAGTTCCTCGTTGCTGCATTTATGCTTCTCGAGCTGGACGATTCGAACGCACGCGAGTCAGGAATTTTTCTACCGTTCATGTACAGAATCTACGAACTGCGGCAGCTTTCCGTGGATTATAGCGAGTAAAGTAATTGGATTTTAAAATGTACAGTAACATGTGGTAACTACGGTAAACTGTCCAATTTCAAGAACTGAAAGACTCTTTCTTCGTAATTTAATGTGAAATTAAGACAATTTAAATAAACTTCAATGAACCTTATTTATATTTTACCTAACGAATTGAAACGAAATATTTTACATACATAACACGATGAGCAAAGTTTTTGCAAACAATTTTGCAATTTCATAAATTGGAATAAATCATGTAAGTTCAGACACGAGTTAACTCGTGACCAAATCAACAATGTGTTAATATTCGAATTATTTTCAAGTAAGTAATTCCTTTAATTGCTCGTCGTTAAGAAGATCAAGTTACTTACATTCCGTGCAATCCTGAGGGCAAATGCGGGGGTCGAGTTGCTCGAGCTGGTCGCAGTGGTTGTCCGGGCAGTGCGTCAAGTCAGGGGAACAAGTCGGGTAATGATCAGACATCGTGGCGAACTCGGACCGATTGTTCCACCTCCACATACAACGCCCGTTAAAGTTGCCCTTGCTGAAATTTCGATGAGTTTCTTTGGAAGTCTTAACGAGATTCTCTCGCCTCGACACTTGGACAAAAAACTTAATGCTCTCTAAAGTATTTTTAACCCTTCTCTCTTAACGATTCCACGTGGCTTTATTTAAACTGGCAAACTTAATTTTTTTTTCTCTCTCTCCTTAAAGATAACGTAAGATCTCATCGATTGCCTATCTTCCAACCCAAGACAACCCCTCGGAGATTAACGTTGCACCAAAAAGCTCGTGACCAGGCGAATTTGGTGCAAGGCTGAGATGGAAGAGGCTCCCAGGCACCATCGAAGGAAGAAATACGAGCGGTTGTGGAATTTCGAAAGGCGGAGCTGTTCGTGGAAAAGTAATCTCGCGGGAGCGGAGAGGAGAATTTTTCGCACGGCAGACGTTACTCGCGCGAGGGATGCGAGGAGCGAAGAGAAAACAGTTGTACCTGAAAAGTCCGCTGGCGACACCGCAGCTGGATTCGCAGTCCTCCGGCGTTTCCGCGTTGGCGCATGAATGCAATCGTCCGGACTTGGTGTGATTGCAAGCGTCGACCTTCGAGGCTGACGCGTTCGTCAAGCCGATCCTTATCTTCGAAGACATCACCGCGCGATCCTTTCCGCTCCACTTGATCCTCAGACTAAAGTACCGGTTGAAAAACGGTTAAATCGGCCACGAGCAGGTCGACACCTCGATGCGCGAGCTTAGAGAATCTTCTCGATTCAGAAATTACAAAATGCATTGTGCCCGACAAAGTTCGAACGTGAAACGTACCGAAATCGGGAAACCTGGAGGAGGATTAAAGTCTACGAGAAAAGGTACCGCGGGGAGCGCGTTAAATCGAGCGTGCGACTTACGTGAGGTTCGCTGGCTGCGTCCTGAGGAGATTCTCGTCGGTCACGTAGACGATGCCACCTTTCTGCGTGACGCCGAAAGCGTTCGAGCCGTGGATGCTGAAGTTTACAGAAGGGTGCAGCTCGCCCGACGGTTTCGCGACTCGCGAGTAACGAGAAGCCAGCCGAGCGACTTTCACACTCGAAGGATAGGATAATTGCTGTCTGCTCGATACGGAGGACACGGTCGTCGTCGTCGAAATTTGGTGATCCGGCCCGTAGACGGTCAACGTGACGTTCAACTAACGAGACGAATCGTTCTGTAAACCTTTTGCCTGACTACATTTTCCAGATAAAAGTTTTTACCCATTTAAACAAACACAAAAATATACACTATCGTAATAACGAAATGTAAATCGCGTGACACGTTTACAGATACAAGCTTTTGGTACTCGATACACGACAAACAGAAGCGAGTTTGCCAGTGCACTTTAAGTGGATTTTGCTTAGAGAAGGTTTGCACAGAGTTGCCAGAATCGAGTTGTCAAGCGTATAGTGGAAACATTTCTAAAATCAACATAACGCGTCGACGGAACATATGCGTCTTGTTGTTTGCCAGGCAACGTACAAAGTTTTTTTCATCAAAATAATTATAAACGCGCACGTTAATTGGTAGACAAGAGTTAACCATTAACGTTAGGTGCAAAATCGAAAATTCATGCCATAAAGGCCTATCTCGCTATCCGATGGGTCATAAAGGGTACATACACTGTTTTACGAGCTCCTCTTTCGAGGTGAAACGTTCTCTGCAGGACGCTATAGTCATCGATTTAATCATTTGCCGACGAAATTGAACAGAAAAGACCATTTACTGGACAAAGAAGCTAGAAAGTAATTGCACTTCGCGGCAACGTCAAAGATGAACAGAATTTGTATGTGAACTGATAAAATGTGACCGATTCCACTCGAATGAAAATTCAGCTTGCCTCTAAATTACGTTGTTATTAATTTTAAAGGGCGTTATCGAAATAATACATCTGCGGAGTTGCAGTATCTCTGGTCACTCGACGGTCCGATTTATGCCCTTCGATTGGGACCATTATTTCACGTGGATTTCGTCCCTTCTATTTACAATGAAAACAAGTATTTCCCTTGCAGTTTCCACGTTTCTGTTATTGGGGATTCCCAGGGAATTATTGGAAAGCGCACAGGATTACTTATCCCCCATTAAGCGTCGTTATCGACCAATTGTACCGCTCCGATCGAACACTTATTTTCAAAAGCAGACAACGTTATCGAGAATGGCAGCTGCGCGTCGTCCGACTACTCGATTCGACGAGCACTTATTTCAATCGGATCGCAGCAATCGACGACAGAAAGATAAGCGGACCGATTCAAAGTTCCAAAAATTGCTGAACCGCGTGGGTACGAAAGAGTGGATCGAAAATGTTCAGGGCGGAAGTTTGACGAGTAGATAATAAGAAAGTTCCGCCCACGCTAGGGCCATCGAGCAATTTTCGCGCGAAACGATCCCATTAATTCCCGCTTAACCCGCTCCGTGGAAACCGTGGTTGAAACCGCGCCTCGCCCACCCGACGCTTCTCGCAGCTTTCGTTGTCTAATTGTTTAACGAGCCGCGATTATATCTAGCGGATACCGAACAAACGGTACAAGGTGCGTTTAATTGCCTTCCCTTTCGTTATTGGGATAATTTCGTCGAGTTCCGGACGGGACTGGTCGGCAGGCTTGACGCCGTGCACTCGAACGATATTTCCATCGAGAGGGAACGTTTGTCGATGCTCGAAACGAACAGGGGGCGGGAGGGGAGGGGGGGGGAGGGCAGCGAGGGTAGCAGAGCTTTTCGAGGAGGGTTACCATCGGAACGGACGCATCGCTTCGAGAGATTTTCTTTGATAGCGCGGAGGAGGGGAGAAAAAGAGACCAGGGAGACTCGTAATTGATTCGTCGAGGCTTCCAGGTTCGTCGATGACTCTCATCTCCCGAGTTGCTTTTGGCAATGGTCGATCGGTCGAAACCACCTGACGTCCTTTTGCGCGTTATCTACCCTACCGAGCACATTCTATCGTTGTTACGCAGGTAGCCTGTCTGGCCATAGAATCCCCGCGGACTTTCCCTTGATACGTGCTACCCCCTTGGCGCGAATCGCACTCAACCGCGTGGTTAGACGAGTGGACCTAATTTTGTCGTTAACCCAATCGTCGAAGCTTTCAATTTGTTTGCGATAAACGTAGCTCGGGTCGCCGGAAAGTAAGTGTAATCAGTATGAAAATATTGTGCGAGTCTAAACGAAAAATAAAGCACAGAGATTCGAAGCCACGATCCTCGGATCCACAGTCGACCGCTTTACTACTGAACAGTTATTTTTCGATCGTTTTTAAAACATACCAGAAGTACTGGAATTACTAAGTATTCGCGACGACACTCACCGTATTCTCGCCGTATCCTGGGAGAAGAGACGCGTCCTCCACTCGAAGCGTCACGCGATAAGGTGACCTTGGTAGCAGAGTGGTTTTAACCGAAAATCCTGCAACAGACGTGGACGAATAGCTCCAACTGCAGCTTAGAGAATCACGCGAGAGCAAACGTTTTAACGATACGAGGATTCAAAGGTCTTAGACGACACAAAATTCAAGCAAAGTGGTAGACTAACTTGGAACTATCGCCGTGTAAGGGACTTCCGTGGACTTCGCGATGGACATAGGCTCGTAGGTGACGGTCAGAGCATCGTGCGTGTCCCCGAGGATGCGGATGACGTAACGATTGCTGCTCATGGTGTCCGCATCCCTCACTATCAAGTCGATCTTGTTCACAAACTGCTCGGCCTGTGGAACGAAAGCTCTGACCAAGCTCTTGTGACTGATTCGATAGGGTCGAGCCTCTCGAACGCGTTCGAAGCAATTTCAACGCACTCGCGTTTCAAAGCACTTCCATGCAATCGAATCTCGAGGAACGATCAAAGGTAATGGACGAATTATGAGGTTACACCAGGTTGGAGATTGTTGTTCTAAATGGCTACCTTTAAGAAGAACTTTTGGCTGTTCCAGTCTCTAAAATACGTGCCTCGGCGATGTCTCGAGCAACGTCAGCAGAGATGGGACCAATAATTATACCCGTCGCGCCCATGATTCCCAGTAGACTGACGAAGCATTCGCTGAAAATGCAGGCAGCAATATATACTGCGGTTTGGACGGTTTTTATCCCATTTCCATAATGTCTAACTAAGCAACACTCGGGGAGATCATCGTTACTGAAATTTTCATATATTACAGGATAAATAGCCCGCGCGACACGAAGACTCGAAGCTGTTTCACGAAGATGCTCTGCAGGCTTCCCTCTTGCCTCAGCTCTTCTCCACTTACACCAGCTGACGCTTCTAGAGGACGGTTCTCGGTGCCTCGACGGTTTATCATTCGAACATTATGCAAATACGTTGTCCACGCTGCTCTCTTCGTGCCAGCTACACATGTACAATTATTAATTATTCCTGATAGCTAGTCCGTAGCAGCTTTCCGTCGAGACATTCGCGCTTAATTTGCGTAAACTGAACTTGCTAAACTACCTAATTCGTTTCATGTTTTAGAGCTTCCAGCATGGTGCAACCCCATAATGGTCTCGCGAGGGCGGGCACAGCGTTCCACGATTCGTTTTGATACGAATTGCCAGCAGGCGACGCGCGTGTTAGCGAGTTACGGCGTTTCTTTTATCCGCGGCGAGGATAGGGCGAAACGTGCGAAGCTGCGAGCGACGAGACGAGTGAAAAGCTGCGCAGGGAAGGGACGGTTGTACAGCCAGACAGACAGACGGCCGAAGGAAAAAGAGATCCGAGCTTAATCAAGATCAGCCCCCGAAGCCTTTTTCTTCCTTCTCGCGCCCGGATCCTTTCACCCGTTCTTCGAGATTCTTTCTTCGTTTCCGCGTCTTTTCACGTCCGCTATCCAAAACAATGCCGGAAACGATCGCAAGAACAATGCTGCGCTGATTAAGTCCGATCTTTACACTATCCGTTGCGACCAGATCGATTCGAAAACGATTAACGCAGTTAAACGTGTCGCGAATCATACTCGAATACTAAGATTGTTTCGAGATCCAGGATTCGACTAAGCGACGATCGACTCACCGCGGTGAATTTTGGAAGAGTTAGGACGATGTCGGAGTTGTTCCCTTGAACTACGGGCGCGTTGTCGTCCTGATCCAGGATGTCCACGTCCAGGACTTTGATGGGAGCGTGCTGTGCCCCGGTGATTTCTTCCCAGACTATGCACTGAACTTGAATGCTGACGCGTGGCCCTGGACCTCCTGGCGGACCCCACGCGTCCCTGTCCAAGGATGCGTTCGCGAACAGCGTATGGTTCACCACGTGAAAGAACTCCGTGCCTAGAGATCGATTAATTTACTTTATTTAAACGATTGTCCAAAATTTTTGATCACGACCACGCGTGATCTACTTCCTTTGAAAATTTTGCACGCCAGAAATGCCGGAGCAGCAATTTCCGAGCGTTATGCACGCACTCGCGGGCAAGCGAGCTCGTCGATTAATCATGCGATGCAGGGATTCGTGGATCGGATAGATTCCGCGGGACCATTCCACCTCAGCTGTGGTGGAATTATTAATTTTCATTTTGGCGAGCGAACTCGCCTGTCGAGAGAAGAAAAGCCGCGTCGACCCGACTCGAACTCCGATCCCACGATTTTTTAATAATTTTTCATGATTTCAGGTATCAAGAGACGCGCTAATGGAACGTCACTGTCACACTTGCCGTTCAGCAGCTTGTAGTCGGTGATGCGAAAAGTAGGGCAAATCTCAGCGTAAGCCGCAGGCCCGAAGGAACCGATCATAGTGACCGGTTGGTTTTCGTAAATCTTGTATCTCGACGAGTTCCAGAAGCACATGTCCTGCAACAAGTGACGACGCATGGAAACAAATCCTGAACGTATCGTTACAAGGGAAACTCGTCGCAAGCATCGACGTTTCGACCATTTCATTTTGATCCTTTCTAAAAACAATATAGAATACGTATGTCCATTTTTCACTTTTTATTATCTCGCCATCGCGCACATTCGTAGAAACACATTTCCTTCGTTCATTTTCACGTTCCACCGCATTGTTTCTTTAGATTAATTTTCCGTCTCCCGTTTGAAAGGGAACAGAATAAAAAGGTCGACTGATAAATCTGAAATGCTTCGGACGCCTTTGCCCGATAATAATTTATTCGGGCAATAATTCAAAGCTTCAGCGAGGAACGCGGCTGGCGTAATTACCTGAACATGATTCGTGCAATTAATTTGCTTCCCGTCTACGCGAATCGGTTGAACTTTGATCTCCAGGACAGCCTCGTTTCTGGCCCCGTTTTCCTTCGCCACGACCACGACCGTGTCGTATTCGGACTCGCCTACGTAACCAGTGAAGAATAATAACGGTTCGAGGTTACATACCGATGAGAGCTTACCTTCTTTGGGTGAGCCTTGAAATAACAGACTGTTCGTTTCAGGATCTATAGTGGCAATTTCCTCGCGGGGCACGGTGACGCGGTAGCTGACGTTCTTTGGTTCCGACGAGTCGTTCCTGAGAGTCCTCAGCTCCAGCAATTTCACGTTCCAAGACGATCTATCATCGTTTCGCGTCAACTGCGGAAGCCTCAAGCTCAAATCCGACTGTGGAAAGTACAATTCTGAAACAGGGATACATCGCAGGTGGTGTAAGATTGGACGTTACTTAGGTCTATTATAAGACAAAAATTTAATATCGATTTTATTACATAATATTCCCATTTTCCTTCAGTTATCGACACTTATAACTCATCTACATAACGTAATAGAGGGCAGATGCAGATGCAGAGATGCAGCTGCAGTCGTATCTCAGCAAACCCTACATATAAATACCAACAAACAGAGTTCCGGGCCCCGAATTTTATCGCGATGATTTACCACCAGCACTGGGCGTTGAAAAAAAAACGGTGGATAAAACTTTCCGACGGCGCGCGTGAGCGCGCGACATCGATTAAAGCTCGCGAGGGAGCGGAAGTTTTCGCGAAACGGCTGAAGGTTCCATCGCCCACGCGGTGCCTTTTTCGAAAAGATAAGGACGAGTGCCGTTTGTTACACGAGTCACGTTTCTCGTTCGAACGGATGAGCTTTACGACTACTCGATGCCGATGCATACGGTGTACAAGCATCGTAAAGACGATGTACGCAGTCCTTTTGATAAATAACCGGGGTGAATTCTGTTATCGACGCTATAAGTATCGAGACGTTATAGGACACGATTTTTCATCGATGGTTTCATGTTTCAGCTATCAATTGCAATTGAAAAGTTATCGAGACTTTGGCGATGGTACTTGTACGTGGACTTGTAGTTGCTACCAGGGTGGACCTTGTCACGAGAAGATAGGAACAATTTTTAATCCTTAACGAGCATATGTCACTTCCTACATGACGTTGCCATTTTTACCGTGTGGAACGTTTGTCACCTCGGCCGTGACGTAGGAACCTTCACTGCAAGTAAAATAGCTTTACTAGCTTCTTAATAGTACAAACATATATGTAAGCGGAAAAAAAATATGATGTCCTTTTATATGGAATAACGACAGCGCAACATTTATCATGCATGTACAAATCAGATAAAGCGACGATCCAGCAGCAACTCGGGTCTGAAGCGTGGACATTTGTAGTGCTAAAAAAAAAAACACTATTTATATTAATACACAGCTTGCGTAGGATCGGAAAATTTGGCTCTAACGGAAATAAACTTGCCCCGTCTTGCGTTGGTCTAAACTTTAGACTCTAAAGTGTAAAGTTCAACGACGAGGGTTCACGCACGGTCAGGTTCGTGGAAACAACCTGTGTCAAGGTGAGCGTTTAATCGATACACAGAAGGCAGTTGACGATTTATGTAGAGATCTCGCACACGACGTTGACGATACTATCGCGAGCACGAGTCTCTCTTTTTCGCGGAATGTTTTTGCGCGTCGTCGCTCTTCCAGGAACAGGACTCGACCATTTACGGTTCCGAAAGATTTGGACCGACGTTTAATCGTTCGATTAGCGACTCGACGATATTTCACACGACGGAAAAACGCTCTCAGGAAAATGCTCGCTATCGATCCACGGGGGTGATCGCGTGCAGGTTCGCATTTCGATCTTCCACGCGACATTTCGCTCCGCGTCGCGTGCCGAGGGCGGTTATCGCAAGTCAGCTGGAAAATTTCTACGCGCAGTACACATACAAGTCGTTTGCCATCGCACACATTCTAGGGATGCAGCTTTCCTTATTATACACACTTTCGAAGTCATATATTTTAAAAATTAGGACTGTCAATCGATAAACTGTCAATCAAATTATCACTCGGAATAAATACCATTTCATCGAATCGATGCCTCGCGGTATTAATTTTGTTCGACATTAAAGTACTGTATTATTCAAAGAACGACCCAAAATTGGTGCCCCAGAAAGTGTATCCCGTTATTTTAGAACGGTTTGCCGAAGTGGAGCACATGTATGAATCCATTAATGCAAAGCTCTTTCGTGGTTACCGATGTAGAATGGCCTACCATGTACGTACAATAGAAACATTTAAATAATCGATTACGTTGGACAGCCGACGGTTCTGCAGAAGATGGATGAGCTTGACGTTATAAAGCAGTGGTCGTCATTGATTTATCGTTAAAGTCTGTTTTAAAATAAACGGACACCATGTCAGAGATTTGACTCGAATGCGCTAATATAAACCCAGATTCCGTTCGGGATAAGAACTCTTATTCGATTTGCTAACTATTTCATTGTCGTATTGCAGCTGCCCTCGTAATATCGGTGCTGGAATCTTACGGCAGTAACAACTATTCGAGGGGACACATCGGAGAACACAAATTGAGCCCAAAAGACAATGCATTCCCGACGTGGGGGTAGCTAAAGTCGCCGATATTACGCATCGTGAAAGGAACCTTCGGAAAGGGAGAAGATAAGGGTGCTCCTGTCGTCGAGAGCCATCGCGAGCGATTCGGCTGCGTTTAAGTGAGTTTACGAGCGAACGAGGGTATTCGGTGAAAAGCACTGGGAACGAAGATATTTCGGTGGTAGGTTTTTCGAGCGAACGAGGGCGAAGGCGAGGCAACGGCGAACGGGGAGAGGGACCGTCAGGAAAAGCGTGCAGCCGCGAGACGTCGGTCACGCGAAAGTCGAGTTATATCCACGGTATCTCCGACGCGTTGCGTACGACGTGCACGCCTCTCCAGGCATGTTAATACGATCTCGCTTATGGTTTACCCTGTACAGAGTTCTTCGCGTGCTAAGCGCCGCGCTATTTGCATATTTACGAGCAGACCGAGTTGGAAAGATCGCGAGATTCGACGCTCGGCTCAAGTACAGCGTCGCTTCTATTATTAGTCGACGATGCTTACGACTTTGCAACTTTTAGTCGAAACCGATATATAGATCACCGTTGGTTCGTTACTCGAATGAATGATGCACCGTCGGGAACCATTTTTGCTCCTTAACCCCTCGAGCACCAATTTCGCTCGAACCGCTGTGGCACTTTAGCGGTTCGGACACGGGGTGGGTGCTTTAAAGGGTACGCGATGAGTCGAAATTACGATAGTAACGGTTATCGCGGAATTTTATGTTGGAGAATTCTAGAAACACAATGATTCCTGTATCGGTGGCCGTAGGACTTGTACGTGCTCAACGCCGAACCCTCGTTAATTTCACGCTAGATCTATTCACGCTATTTACAGATTGATCCAAGTGTTGTTTCCACACGTCTACGCACACTTATTTGCATATTTACTAACAGACCGAGCTGGGGGGAGATCGCGAGATTCGACGCTCGGCTCCAGTGCCTCGTATCTTCTATTCTTAGTCGAGGATGCTTAGAAACAAACTCCGCCGGGTAGAGAGTCCTTTCCCCGTTCCTCATTTCCACGCTTCCTCGAACCGTTATTATCGACTTTTTGACCCGGCGTCGGTGCTCTCGAGCCATTAACGTTACGACAAAGATCGAGAAGAGACTCTCCACCGGAGTTGTATAAATGGACTATTAATTTGCGGTATCGAACGCAGTCAACCCCGAGACCTAGACACGGGACGCTCGCGCGAGAGAACCATTGCGACGGTAACTGTCTCCCCTAATCCCAGTTTATAGGTGGTGTCACCGGTTGGACGTCAGGAATCCTCGACGAACCTGGAAAATGATACTCAACGCGTTTCAATGGACCTAACCGAGCTCGAAGCTGGGGGATTTATTAAACAGCTTCAACGTCCTCTGTTCGTGATATGCGACTTCCAACGAGCGTGTGGGTGGATTCGGTAGCGCCGAGGTCGAAGAGGAGCGTCAAACTCGCTTTGCACCGATGGCCAATTCGCGCTTTGCTGCCACTACTTCGCTCTTAGTTCTACCATTCGTTTCGGACTGCGAACGCGTATATCAGAAATCCAACGTCAACCAAAGCAACGTGTTTTCCAGGTGCTGGAACCATTTTCGAACCCATTAGGATCGTATCACCGCGACAACGGGCAGGAAAACGGGAGAACGGCGCTTTAGGTGCGCAGGCACGAGATCGTTGCACCTGGAAACCCTATTCGCACATCGAGTTACAATTCCCGAAAACAGAGACCGTGAATACGATACGCGCAGCCATACAACTCGCGAGGTACAGCCCTCAGGGTCGGCGATCTCCAAGGACCTTCCGCGTTTAGGGTCGGGACGAGGCCTAGACTCAACGCAGACGATGGGAGCCACCCTAACTCCCTGGCATGGACAGTGTTTCCCCGTGGATCCTTGCGCGAGCCCTGTAAATTGATCGAGACTCGGTCGCCCAACCCAACGAGACGAGCAACTTTAGTATTCGTACACTTTACAATCCTTACTTTATAACTGTGTCTACGATGAACGATGGAGTAATCGATTACATTGCTTTGGTTATGAATTGACGATGATAGTCAATCTTCGTCGCCGAAGTCTATGCTCCAGGAAAACCAATGATTCTGTCGCAAGTTTTGCTATACAGAGCTCATTATTTAGTCTTTCGTGTAAGTTGTTCATTTAAATTTTCAGGGCCCCAGGGTAGAAATAAATCTCCGCCTTTGCCGTGCAAAGATCGTAAGTGCGAAGGCGGAGATAAATTCTCCATCTCGTGTTTGCCATATATGAAGGAATAGCGTATCTATACCACCTATGAACATGTAACGTTCGGTAAGAATTTCGTTCTACCAGAATGAAAAATGAGTAGGTCATGCAGGCTTTTTTAATTTCCCAAAGGAAAAGTTTCAGGACTGTTTCCTTCCTCGAGCCGGAGATTCGATTGTATACCGAGTAGGAGAAATGTGTTTCTTATCGACTCGTAACGCTTGCGAGACGGACTGCTTCTTGACTTTGAAGCAAACTCGTGACGCGGAGTAGGTGGAGCACGATCCACACGCATGGACACCTGCGCGCATGTGGCATCGATAAATAACGGCGCGCGTTCCCTGTCGTTCCTTAAATTATCACCCAGTTTCCTCCTTTTCCATTTCTCACCTATTCCTCCGAGTTCCTCGATGACGCTCCGAGGCGCTCCGAATTCGGAAATAGCTTAACTATATTTAGGTTACTTCGACACCCCGTCGAAAGATCCGACCAACTGTTAAGCGCCGTAACAACGAACTTACGACCTTCTTAAAATCTTCGGTGATTTTTAT